CTATTCTTATGTTAAACTCAGATTGAAATTTAAAAAGCAATTACGTACGTGATTTTGGTGGCGATACTAGGTGGATTTATATGAAGTAACATCGGAATTATTTGCAATGTTTTCCTACAATAATAATAATGTTATCAATAATACGAAATTATAAAAGCGAGTTACTTAAACACGTGATATTGTTTATTAAAAAACAGTATCCTTCATTTGACTCTGGACAGTTAAAAAAAATTTACAATTTATTATTGACTTACATCAGCGTCATCGGACACATCCCCAAACTCATTTAGAAGAGTAGCAGCCTTTTGTGTAGCGGCTCTATATAAGTTACAGTCATTCATCTTGCATCTTAGTTCTCGGCAAGTAGCTTTCGAAATTTCTTCATCACTGTAATCTACTCCGGATTCATTTAATACATGGTCTTTTAAATCTCGTGAACTCCATTTTAAAAAACGATTACTTTCCAAGTACACTCTTACGTAATGTTCCAATTCCATGATCCTAATAATGATCGTAATGATAAGCAAGTAAACACGTGGTAAACCCTAACAAAAATAAAATAATATAAATATATCAAGGGACAACCAAGAAGATTTTTAATTTGGGGCGCCTTCCAAAAAAAGATCTACCAGGAAATCTGCTTAATAAGGTTTCAAAAGAATATAACCCCCCACATAATGTTCTTATGAAAGGACTATCCAATAAAAAAAAATCTTCCGGAATGTACAATTTTACGACACCCTTAAAAGAAACGTTCCTTTGTTCAATATCTTAGAAACAACCCACAAATAATTTCAGAATGGACAATTTTACGCCAAAACAGAAACCTAATGAGAAGTAACTAATACATTTAATAGTCACTTTATAAAAACTTTACCGATTCCTCTTATAGAATCGGTGGATCTTATAAAGTATCATAAGAACTTATAAAAGAAGTTTTTTGCATGCAGGTCCTCTACTTGCCTTGTACAGAACCACAATAGGACACAGCAGGGATTTACAACAGGACACGACGGTGGTTACAACAGAACACGGCTCTATAGAAACACGGCCTTTTAATACAGTACACAATAGAGTGTGACAAAAACTCACTCATTTTATACTTGACGTCTCTGACCCCTGAAATTTTATTAGTTAATATTCACATGATGCTGATCAGTGTTTATTTTTCACGTGCGCACACTTTTGCGCACGTGAAAATAAACACTGATGCTGATCATCTGCGACAAAACTTTCATTTTTGATACATACTAGTATATGACCCGTGCCTTTGGCACGGAAAAAACTTTATTAAAAATAAAATGGTTAAATATTTATAATTTATATATTTTTGCTATTTATAAGACTGTACAAAGTTAATCTTTTGTTACTTATTT